TTTAGAGTCGCCTAACGAATAGTAAACGTAACGCCTGCGGGCAATTGAAAAAGGTATAAGGATAGTTATATGAAAAATCTGGAAAGGTGCCAAATCGACCTCCTCACCTTGGGAGTCGATTACTCCACATCGTAACGCTTAGAGGAGCACCACACGAGAAGGTGTCAATTCTTTCGAGTTAGCCCGACTTCAAACCGAGGCAGACAAGCGCCAACGTCGGAAAGACGCTGCCACCGCCCCTCCCACAGTAGATATAGCTCTCCACATGTGCAACGAATGTGGACGACGCTGTGGGTCCCGTATTGGCCTTTTTAGTCACCTTACAACTCACCAACCTAGGTGACATCCCTAATAACTCCTATCATTGTATCATAGCTGGATGATCGTCATACTCGATTCCGAATGACCGTAAAGTAATACTAGTATGTATAATATATGTATGTGCTGTTACCAATACTTTTATTGTTATATTGTCCAACACCTGGCAAACTACTGGGCAACCCAAACTACCTTCAGGGTAGAAAACAATATCAAGTTATCAACGGCAGTGTAAACGCCTTAGTTAAGGACGTTCAGGTGACGGGCAAGTAGAAGGGAATGATTGAAATCCGCCTTTTGACGCACTCAATATTTATTGATGTGGTCAAAACCTGCAGAGGAGATGTTCATAATATTAAATGGTGATTCATCTGATACATAATTAGTTAATCTCACACAATTTTATCTTAATTACAATTTATCAAACATAGTGACATAACACAAAGTTCATAACTCTATTAATCTTAGCTTCACTTCATTCTGCATTGTCTTATTACTCCTGGTTAGCCAGAAACGAGTAGGCGTAATTAGTCGACAATATTTCAGTACAGAGGGGTATGTAATCACTTAGGCTGTACTTACAAGTGCGGGTCAATGCAGATCAGTACGGTGTTCCAAGAGACAACAGTACTGCGTAAATTATCTCAGCACAAATTCTTGTGGAGGATTATGAATCGGTGTTCACCAGTGCGAGCAGAAGGCTAGTCTTCACAACATCACTAGAGAGGGCGCTCTGACTCATGGCGGGGCGGGCAGCACCGCCACCAGTCAAAGACAGTCCACTCAGCAGAAGCAGGACTTGTCTGCGAACACTTTTACATCTGGCGAGGTCACAGGTCGAAATATTTAATGGCATCACACGCCAGCACTGTAGCTGAAGTCAGCGGCGATAACAAAACCATACACTCAACAGAATCAGGGCCTCTTGTCTGTAAACACCGCCTTCCCCTCCAGCCGCCACATCTGGCCAGGTCGCGTGGAGGGGGTGGCGCTCGTGGTCGCAGGCTGAGGGATTTAATGTTTGTTCGGGTAAGGCAACGCCAGCACTGTAGTTGAAGCCAGCGGCGATAACACTCCCGACATTGGCCAATCGCCCAAGATTTACGGTGCGGCATGTTCAAGAAGGCATACACGGGTGACTGGCCTTCGTAACTCCCAAGATACAATTTGCACACGCACCTGGCGCACCAGATCGTCAGCTCCTGGGACCACTGCCGTGACCCTGACCAATGACTATTTGTTGCGAGGAAGATTTTCTCCAGTGACGTGGACAAGGTCGCTTTCCTGGAGATTCCGGGTTGGTTCTATGTACCTTTGTCTTTTGCGGAGTAGTGGAAGGTACTGCCTCACCCAGCGTTTCCAGAAGCGGTCTGCTAGGAACTGCACGTGCTGCCATCGTCGTTGATATGAGTCTTTCAGAAGACATCCACCCAGCTACAGGTCAGAGTGTGGGCCACCGTGGAGAACGTGGGCTGGTGTAAGCGATTCCAGGTCTCTCGCGTCGCTCGAGACAGGTGTGATGGGTCGATTATTTATGATCTCTTCCACTTCACAAAAAAGCATCTGTAGTCGATATTCATCCAGGACTTGTGTCAGCAGAATTGCTCTGAAAACCTTCTGACTGTTCAAATTTGCCACTCCCAAACGTCGTGCTGCTTCCCTTTCTTACCCCTTTGTGAAATACGCCTCCAGCATTTCAGTCACAGTTCGTCGCACTTCTGCCATCATGTTGGACCTGGGATTTTGGTCAGGTGCTGAGCATTCAGGCTCACGCAGAGGGCGTCCCCCTTCAGCTTCTGTTGCCTGAAAGTCGTGGTCGTTCAGCTCTGGAGGGACAACTTCAACCTCTGGGTCTCGGTCACCTTCGTCCATGTTCACCCTTCCCTTTCGTTGCTCTGGATCCATTTCCACAACCTCTTGTCCTTTTATTGATATTCATTTACAGCTCCGGTTAGGTCTCAAAGTTTGTTACATGAACCACGGCTCACCGCCTGTATTTGGTGGTGCAGCTTGCTGCTTGTATTTGTTTGATGATAGTAGGTCACTACTGGTTGCTTATGGTGTTACAAGTGGCACTTCACTGCTGGTTGCTTACCGTGTTACAAGTGGCATTTCACTGCCGGTTGTTTACGGTGCTACAAGTGGTATTTCACTGCCGGTTGTCTACGGTATTACAAGTGACATTTCACTGCCGGTGTTACAAGTAAATTTAATCACGCTTACCGTGTACTTCGTTGAGTTGGTTATTTGTTACCTTAAAACCGGTAGTAATGAATCAATTTTCCTTTCCTTCATAACCTCAGTAGCTGGCGGCAGCTCTGCCTGTACGAAAAAGGAACACTCGCAACCTATGGTCCACATTCATATGGCAGTGTCCCGACCAGTGCTGTATGTTTTCCAATTTAAGGGTACAAGTATGCAATACGAAAGGAGGACATGAAATTCAGAGATCATTCGATGATTTCCTTATTTTACGTAAGGTTAGTAACATAATAATTAGTTGCTGATGCATTAGAAAAGGCCAACGGATATGGTCATTGTGGAACCATCGTGTAATGAAAGCAGAAGGATTGTATACTGATTAGTACTTTTGAGGTTTTCGTCGGGCAACCACTATGTAAGGCTCCTTATATCATCGGCGAGTATCGTCTCACATTTGGTCTAATTGTATGTGTTATGATGAATTAGTTAATTTATTACCTTTGGATAAGTGTTCCATGAACCAGTTTCGTACCTTTTCATACATAGAAAACGGAAACTGGTATCGTTCAAGATAATCTACTTAATATTTCTTAATACACACCTATATTTACGACCTTGGATCACGGTTATGTCAAACTGTAATAAATTAACTCCGACTAAATTGAGTGTGTATTGAATCTCATAGTGCAATCTTCTTTTAGGATTACTGTGTTGTTGCTTATGGATTACGAGGCTCTGATTCATGTTGTCATCAGTCTGTCTTGGTAATTGGTGTATTTACTGTCGTTATTACACACTCAATAAACATAACCAATATCTTTTATGTGGTTTACATGTATGTGCAAGTAAATTTATGTTCAACCAGAGGTTCTCTGCAATATCGCTATATTAGGTGAAATCCTATGCATACCACATGGGTGCACGGAGATTATTTAATGCTTGTGAGAGTCATCGGCTAACATATTCTCAACAACTGACATCTCCAGGTTATGCCTCCTCATCCCCATTTCCAAGAAGATTGGCAAGCGAAGGACGTTTCGCACTTGACTAGCTTGTAATGGGCCCCTGTCTCATCAACAGAACATATTATATAAATGGTTCAATACATCTGATATTATATTCAGATTCACCACCCTGCAACTTTCCACTGTCTATGAGTAAGACATGAGCTGTACACGTGAGAGGGCAACTCTCCCAGGAGGTAGAGACCCATCGTCAGCATATCTGTAAGCCCAGCACAGTGAGGCCCTTACTCGAGTAGTCGCTCACAGAAAGTTATATCGTAAGGACGTGACCTAACGTTTATAATACATAAACGCCGCCCCTTTCTCATTCACTCATATACAGTGGAACTTACGGTCGATCTACACTCAGGAATTATAGATACAATCCTATTATAATAAAACAAGGAACTACAGTTTGGGTTTCGTTACTTAAACCCAAATAATAAATATATGTGAACGGCCTGGTTACTTGTACAAAACAGCCGATTCATATAGGTGGCAGCGGTGGGATACGGATTCTTAAACTGGTAGTCGTATCAAACCGTCTGTGTTTTTTTGGGAAAACAGAAAACACACAACAGTGACGCATTACATAATCCGAGTGTTTAAAACTATATCCCATATCGAGACGATATTTAGTGAGTGATCCTTATCTCTGTCACATACAAAAACGTGCAGAATTCGTAATATACATATATTACAGCCTGTTGGTGAATATCCAGTTTGTGCCGGTTGAAGTAAACCCCACTCAGCATTTTCATGATATAGTGTTACAGTGTTGAAGAAAGGTTTCATAACTTGGACTAACAATTGATATTTCACAAGTAGCTGAACAGTTTTGTTGTGTCGCCAGCGTTAATTACGAAGTTCCGGTGTCATCATACAGATCTCCATATATACGTAGTCTGTGAAGACTTGGCACACGGCAGTCTCGCTAGCGACCTAGCAACGAACAGAGTGATAACCAATCATCAGCAGTTTCTGATCGACTGTGGAGAACCTCTCCTAGTTTGAAGTGGACTCGTCTTTCGCCATGGTAGAAGCGTCTCTTCGTTGCCAGGGAAACCACGAGCAGTGCGCGCCCATCACCAGGAAGAGGCCCCGCCCACTCTCCACACAAGACTCGACTTGGAACTCGGCTTGAAGGATCACATTTTCTATACAGACGTCACACCCTGTATAAATAGGTATTTAAATTACATAATTATACACACATGAACACGTTCGAGAGATATCTTTACACCGATAGGTTCGTCGGATAGGATTATTTCAATGATAAAGTGTCGAATGTAAAATTAATGTATTGAAATTCCATAATTTACAGTGGTTTATAGGTGTCTGTTTCCTTATTGATAGTTTTATTATTAACTACAATTCATATTCATTTATCTTGTAAATGAGAGGCAAGTAATCTGCTTTTACTCTTAATTATTCATTGACCCACAAGAGACTAACAGATAATTTTCTAAGTTTCCAATGTCTAGTGATGATGACATTGCGCACCTAGCACAACTGTTTGCTTATAACCAACTCGTCGATGATCAAGCACAGACTGACATCGACTTTGAGTCGGGAACACAGTTAGACGATTCGGTAGGAAATAGTGAGAAAGTAATTGAGGAATCATTTCACGACTTAAACCGTCGTACTTTACGATCTGGTAATCAATATAGTACTTCACCTAAGTATACAAAAACAGTTACCCCTGTTACAGGTGATAGTGTGTCTGTTGCTAAATCAGTAACAACCTTATTAACCCAGCCTTCTGTTAAGAGTAAGAATATTAACTTGCTTTATACTAACACTACAATGATTTCTTCTAACCCTCACGCCAGTACTACTACCACACCTAAACCTGATAATGTTATTTATATCATGCAGCGTGGCGACAATGTTCGAAATTTTACGGGTCAAGATGATTATAGGGTCGCACATTTCATTTGTGCATGTGAAGATAACATGCGCACTGGTCATATAACGACTGACGAAGACAAAAAGGCATATGGATGTTCCCACATTACGCAGGGTTCTTATGCCGGTAGTCGTTTAAATGCGTTTGGTTTGCAGAGCCCTGATTATGAGAAATTTAAGCGAACGTTAATTGGGATCTTTGGGGGTAGGTCACAGCTGGGCCAGCTTCAACGGATCTTCAGATGGATGGATCGTTGTACGTCAGGTATACGCAATGAAACGCCTGTCGACGCTGTCGACATCGCAGGCGAGGTTCGCCAGGACATGCAAGCGACATTCCGGACCTCAGATTGGTTCGACGATCAGGGTAATATGTCAGCGGACAATGTGGAAACGTTGATAGAGCTAATAAGTTTTCTGCTTTCCGTCCGTCGTACTCTATACAGCCGGGCACAAGAAGTACAGTATGAACCACCCCTGGATATGGTGGAGTACGCAAATAAGCACTGTCCCCAGGCTACGGGCCCCTTAATGGCAAATTCCTTAATGGCGCAGCCCTCAGTGACAATGCCGCAACCCTTGACGTCTATGGGGCAACCCCAGATACCTCAGATGGCGCACATGTCTCCCTCCCAGACTCCTTATGCGACACACTTAGCTCCGATTGCACCTCCCCACCTGACTTATAAACAAAAAACATCTTTACGATGCGCACACTAATAAACGTGGCCACGTAATGGAAGATTGTTTTCAGCTCCGAGGTAATAGTGCAAAATTAAAGGACACACTCGGTGCAAAACCATTCTCAAGGTCATACAGTGAGGCAGCCAGACCAGCACCTCCTCTTAACCTGAAAGCGCGCAAAGGGGCGCCCTTCACAAATCGACATCTCATAGTTCACATGAGTGCAATGTGCTAATAAGGGCTAAGGGTGTGGACCTTAGTGAAACAGAGGTGTCGTATAGGCGCAAGCAGAAACGTCCCCAGGACAAGTCGTCGGGGAAAGACAAATGCATACCACACCAAGGAGAGGGATAGATAGTAGGGTGTGTCATAGGAGGGAAGATCAGCTAAAACTAATCGCCCATCACTTTTTTGGTAGATTTTAGTGTATATAAACAGAAAATAATTTCAGTTTCAATATTTTGCAACCTTTTGTTAGGTAAATTTTAGCGTGAAATTTATCGAAAATCTAACGTACAGCTGCATTAGTGCATTACAATTAAATAGTGAACATTGCTTTCTGACTTCATTCTTTAACAACCCAACTAACAATATTTTTTTCTGTTTCAGATTCTGATGCATTTATAAGTTGATAATATTTGCGATGGCTGCTTGTGTCAGGACGTGGAACCAAAAATCCAGCCATCTCAGTCACTATCTTGGGTCTGGGAGAGAGCTCCTGAAGTCGGAGTTACCTACATTGAGAGATGCTTTGAGATACGGTGTTTTAATCAGGCAAATCAGTGAAAAGAACCAAAGAACTTACACAAACAAAGACATTGCCAGTGATATGACCAAAGCTCTCTTGGCACAGTACACTCTGGCTAACGCTCAGTTCAAGCCTCCAGTCATAACAAGTCAGAAGAAGATTAGTGAGAGACTGCTAGCCAGTTGGGAAAAGGCAAGAGATATCTCTCTTGGGAGAGGAAAACTTGCAGTTAAGGACAGCTTTGCCAAGCAACTGGACCAGTTATTTGACATAATTACTTGCAAGTGCCCAATTGTTATCTGTCCTGAGTTTGGATGCGATCGTGACTGTAAATCCGAAGCCCACATCTCCTGTATTTGCAAGCGTGAACTGAAGATTCCTGTGATCGAACTGGCATTTGTCAAAGCACAGAGAGAGAAGACTGGCAGTATAGGGGCTCTCATGATTTCTAGGCAAGATATTCCGGAGTCCAAGAGACAGGAGGCTGCCACAGAGAGACAGAAGAGGAGAAGAGTTGCCGAGGAAAAGAGACTTGAGAAGGCCCAGGGTGAGGTAAAAAAGGCCGATGATTGGAGTCAAGCTGATTCAGAGTTTAATGACTTCCCCATGGCTGATCCGAGTGCTGACCAGGAGAATGGTGACTTTGTCCCTAACCCAGAAAATAATGATCCCAAACCTTCCAGGCATAAGATTCGAAATAGGAAAGATATCCCGAGCATAGCTCTGGCCAGCATGCGACACCACACTGGTCTCAGAGAAACTGCAGAGATAGCAACAGCTGCCTGGGTTGACGGTGGTTTGATAACACCTGATGATGTTCACCTGGTGATAGATCATAACAAAGTAAGGAGAGCTCAGGAGAAACTTGTCAGTAACCTAGAAGAGGAGTTTGATAAGGGGATAAGAGAAAATGGAATCAATTGTTTGTTCTTTGATGGGAGAAGGGATGACACTAAAGTGTTCATGAAAGTTGGAGATTCTGACAAGTTGTTCCCTGCCATGGTGAAGGAGGAACACTACTCCTGCTGCAGTGAACCAGGAGGGAAGTATTTGTGGCATTTCACTCCAGAGAAAGTTGACATCAGGAAACCAGCTGAGATAGTGGCAGATAACATTGTGAACTGGCTCAGAGAGAGGAACGTAGACCAGACCCTGCAGGCTATTGGAGGGGACAGCACCAACACGAACACAGGGTGGCAAGGGGGGGTCATACAGTGGATAGAGCGGAAGATTGGGAGGAAGCTGGTCTGGATTGTTTGTGACCTCCACACCAACGAGTTGCCACTCAGACATCTGATCCAGGAGCTGGATGGCAAGACTCTTTCAAAGAACAGATGGTCTGGTCCTCTTGGCAAGATGCTGGACTCTGCCACTGAGTTAGAAATAAATCCGAGCTTTGAAAAAATCACAGTTGGCCCTCCACTCGTTGAGCTTGCACATACTGTCATTGACGACCTGAGTACTGACCAGTACTATGGTTACATGATTTGCAGTGCCATCAAAACTGGGGTCATGCCTGATAGACTTGCTTACCTGCAGATGGGTCCAGTCTCACATTCTAGGTGGCTCACAACGGCTCTCAGGTTCTGCAGAATTTGGGTCGCTCATCATAAACTGAAAGGGAACCAGCTTCACAACCTGAGACTTATTGTCCAATTCATCGTGAGTGTCTACTTGCCAAATTGGTTCAACACCAAGGTCAAGTCATCGTTCTCCGAAGGTCCGAGGCATGTTCTCTTCCAGCTTGAGCTCCTGAGGAGTCAGCCAAGGAAGGTTGTTCAGATTGTGGAGCAGACTGTGAGGAGATCTTCCTGGTATGCTCATCCCGAGGCAGTTCTGCAGACAATGCTCTGCAGTAAGGATGAGGAGGAGAGAAGAGTGGCAGTCAAAAAGATCTTGGATATGAGACTTATGAGAGGATCTGGGCATGACGAATCAGTTGGTGACGATTCCTTCAGGGTCAGGAAGACTCCTGAAGTCAATCTAGGTGCCAAGACCCTCACTGATCTCATAGATCTGGATAACATCCAGGCTGGCAGTGAGCCCCCTCTTACCTGCAGCCTCACCAATGTTTAAGTCAGAGCTTTCCTGGACAACCCCATGCATGTCCCTGCCTGGCCCTCGCACACCCAGAGTATAGAGCATTGTGTACAGCAAGTGAGCGAGGCCAGCAGTCACGTGTACAGCTAGGAGAGGAGGGAAGGCTACATCCGAGCTCAGGTGGTCAGCAGGGAGGTGATGAGTAGAAACAGAAGCAAGAAAGACATGTTTTCTATGGTGTGCAGCAACACCGGGTCGTAGTAGTAAAACCGGTTTTTGTATTTGATGATTATGTTTTCTAAAGGAATAATAAATTTAATAAATGTGTCAAGATCATTCGTTTCACTATTCTGGATCATTTTCATCCTAATAAATTAACCTGATACATTTACTTTACTTTAAATAAGCTATTTAGTGGTGTTGGTAAAAGGGTGGGAATACTGAATTTTCATAAGATTTCAAGTTAAAATTTACCTAGCAAAAAATGAAAACTTTTCAAATCTGAAGATATCACATGATTCTGCACATAGAACTACAGCATTAATACCATGGGCCGATTTTTCAAACTCAAAAAAAAAAATCGCCTCCGTATGACACACCCTAACAGGGCAGTGTATTGGGCCTGCTGTTGTTTGTTTCATAAATGACATGCGTGACGTAGTATACTCCTCCAGACATATGTTTGCCGATGACGCCAAGTTATTTCAGGAAATCAAAAACCAAAAGGATCTCTGTGAGCTCCAGGAATGGTCGAAGAAATGGCTACTGAGATTCAATGTCACGAAGTGTAAGAGGATGCACCTTGGGCCTACCAACGGTAAGGAGGCGTATCATATGTCCCAAAGGGATGAAGAATCTGCACTATTTAAGACAATGTGAGAAGGACCTAGGTGTGTATGTTGACAATGAGCTGAAGTTCTCGGGCCATTGCAAGACGAAGGTAAATCAGGCAAATAAATTATTAGGTCTTATAAGAAGGTCGTTCAGATATCTAGACGGTCCCTCGTAACATCAACAAAAGTGAAGTGCTACCCCATCTGGAGTAATGTCACCCCGTTTGGTCCCTGAGATATGCTATGGACTGTCAGTTGGTTGAAAATGTTCAAGGGAAGGTCCTTTTCCATTATGTAATTCTTCATGGTTTATTATTATTATTATTATTATTATTATTATTATTATTATTATTATTATTATTATTATTATTATTATTATTATTATTATTATTATTATTATTATTATTATTATTATTATTATTATTATTATTACTATTTGTGTTGTTATTATTATAATCATTATTATTATTTTTATCTGTGTTCTTCTGGCTAAATATACTTTCAATGTCAATGTCAATAAGAATTCTACAAATTCTCGGAGAGCCGAATTTTAATATAAGTAAATATTTCTTGACTGCAAATGATCTGAGGTAAGATATTTTAATTTTAGCATAGTTTTTTAGGTGTTAATAAGGCTTGACAACACTTTATTTAGAGAAAGGACATATTCTACTTGATATTTGATATACTCTGTAGGTGTTCTGCATGCTTCATCAGTGCAACCACGGTACGTCACTGGTGTAGGCGGATCAGCTGTTCGTTATGATCACTGGTGCACACACACACACACGTATAATCACTGGGAGGGTGGGCTTGCCAGTCCGGAATGAACAATAACAGCCCGTCCGCTCGGACCGAAACTGTACGACACTGTCCGAGTGTAGTGAATATTCGTTCACTGGGTGCGCGGGCTGGCTCGTCGCAAACAAACGCTCACAGCCCCGTACGCTTGAACCGAAACTTTATGACAACCCCTCAGATATTGGATGCTCATATGAGCAATAGGGGTTGGGTGTAAACGGGACTGCCCAGTATGGGCCAATAGGCCCGCTGCAGTTTCCT